TTTCCCTTCTATTCACTGCCCTTGGATCAGTTTGCTTTAAAGTAAAAGGGAGAATTTGTATGGTTTAACTTTTCCTATGATGTCTTGCACGATGGAAGCTGCCACGTACACACACAAAGCTTTCTGAGACGTGAGAAAAGTAAGGAATGCTGTACTAAAGAGGATTATACTGAGGTTCCTTTAAACCGAAATGAGAGCATCTGTTGGATAATAGAGCATCTACTCGAAGTGTTATGCATTGCCCTGAGAGTTTTAATTTGTATAGAGTACTTTTTCCCAAGAGTTATCAACAAGTTCTGTGAGTTGCTTCACTTTTCAGATGGTTTAGTTGGGGTATGTGACTTCCAGTAAAGATATGGATGACAGTTCTTGAGATGATATCAACCAATTTACATAGCTGGCTGAATGCAATATTAGAAAAACCTTAAACCAAAAGGGTAAGAAATGATGCTTGCAGTACAGACAGTGGTAAAAACTTTCAGATGCTCTTACTGACACTTTAAGGGAAGGGTAATAACGAAGTCTAATTTTAATAGAGCCTAGTAAAATGCAAAGTGACCTTTTCTTTCAAAAATATGGTCTGATTATTTTCTACCATGCAGATGGCTACCTTATAGCAATCTCATCAGTGGTGGAAGAAGATCGTTAATGAACGTTATACGTTTTCTTCAACACTATATATAAAGCTCTCTCAGTGCAGATGCATATAGATTGCTTAAGCTTTCATACCCCCTTAAAAAGGCAACGGATTTGGGGTTCCTGCCACAGTATTACACCATTTTTGCATTAAAATGGCTCCAACAGATTCTGGAGGGGTTTTAATCACAGATGTCTAATCTAGCTACAGAAGATCACCCTTTTGTTCTTCACTTAAGGGTACTTTTTAAAAACCTTCCTCAAACTTACTGAGTGAATATGCAGGAATCTTTTTGCCTCAAGTTTTGGTTAGAAGTGTTTTATGTCAGGAACTGAGGGCAGGAACAGTCTCACTGGCTCCATCCTTGGCTTTAAGAAACCTGGCAGTGACGTAAAGAAGACGCAGGTTTGAATCCAGTCACTTGGTAACGTAGATTGTCACAACACTTTCCCTTTTCCCCTTTCCTTCCACAAACCTTGTGAGTAGTTTAGAAGTATCGGCCTGGTAGCGCTCTTTTTAGGACTAGAAGGACATTTGTATTTCTGTAACTTCGCCTAGGACTAAGCTAATATTTGTACATGTATTTGTACATGTATACACATGGAGGGTTTTGGCTGGGAGAAGAATAGAGGGAATCATGGCGGAGGGAAATCTCTTAAACCAAGATTCCCCATTTTGTTTGGCATGAACAATACCAAACATTTTGCAGATACTGTCATAGTTAGCTTTTTCTGTCTGGCTTCAGCTCAGCCTTCCAGTATCTTTTAATGTACTGTTCAAGACTGTGTCCCTACAAAGTAGTGTGTGTCTACATCAGTCAGTAAAACTTAGTTCAGAGACTGTTGAGCTAGTGGTGACAAATGTAGCATGTCACCTTGTAGGTGACAATATAGACATGCCTGTAATCTCCTGTAAATTCAGACCTCTGCGATAAGAGAAATGAACTGTTCCATAAGGGCTTCAGTAATCGTAATAAAGACTCTCAGTGCATGAATCCATGAGGAGTTTTAGCTAGAGGGGTTTTACTGCGTGCTCTAAATCTTGAATCTCTGTTGAGGACAGTAGATTGGCTGTTGCCTTTTCTTGTATTTCTCTTAAAAATAGAGTCTATACAATGCTCTTGAAGTCTATGATGCTATTGTCATCTTTCAGATTAAAATCTTAAGTGAGTCTTTAAAATCTCTCATCAGGAAATTCAAAAGACAGTTTATATTTACTTTAGAGTTTTATTTCATGTCATGTCATTAGTATTCTGTGCTCATTTTGTGCTTGTAAACGTTCATTTTCGAACATGGGCAGGAAGCCTAGAGGAAAAACATAGTTTAAGAACAGTTTTCCAAGATGGCTGATTTACCTTTATGTGGCCAATACTTTACTAAACTTTCTGTCTTTCCACAGACATTCACCTACTTCTAAATTTTATGCAAACAAGATTGTTGAAAGTCTTGAATGTAATCACCTCTTAAAATTAATTTAGAAGTCATGTTTCCCTTTCTGCACTGAACAGGACTTAGTGAAACAGTAGCTAGTAGTGGTAATGAGTTGAACATCGTTCCAGAATGTTCATGCAAAATGGTACTGTCATGATTTCTGTATTTCTGTGCATCTGTCAGCAGCTAAAATTACATCCATTGAGATAAGCTGATAAGGGAGTGGTTTTTTTCCCCATTTTCAAGGCAGTATTCACTAACATGTTAATGAACAGACCCAGAAGGTGATTCCTTTCCTACTGTGTAGTAAGATCTGCTGTCTGGAAAAATAGTATTGAGAATAGGTTGACCTTTTCTTTAACGAAAAGTTAGTGATGACTGGCCATTGGCACCAGCAGAAATTTGGACCAACACCGGTGACAGTAAAATATCTTTTTTATTTGGTTTTGTAAGAAATATTTGTTACCAAACGGTTTTTCTTGCACAAAATGGTGTTTTGCACAGGTAGAGTTATATGTTTCCTTTCCCATAGGCCTATAATGTAATTGTACACCCCTTGATCTTTTTCTTAAGAAAAAAACATGTGATGACTAGCATTCTGAATCAAGAAATTAATATTCACATGCTTAAATTTAACACTAATTGAAGGCGGTCAGTCTGGAGTTACATAGTGGTACATTTCCTAGATTTCAAACATGCAAATAAGTCAGTGTTTCTGATACACTGCGTTATACCGTAGTGAAATTTAATATTATAAAATAAATCCATCCAAAATAATCTTACCATTGAATTATTTTGTTCTCCCACTGGATACTGCAAATGCAGTTATGTCAGGCTGGCTTTCTTCAGAGCTCTGCAAACTAGACATAACATGAAAAAATTCCACACAGACTGTTTTACAATATGGAAGTTATAGGGTTTTTACTAAACATGGTGTTTTAATGAGTTAATTTTTGATTTTAAAGTTACAACGCATTGTAGAGTAGAGTGCTTTACTACTTAATGTGAGCGCTTACAGGACGTTAACGTGACTTTTACTAGTGCCTACTGACTTGCTCTAGGAACTCATTGTCCCTTGGAAAGTTTTTAGATGTATTCTGAGGTGATTCTTTGATCTTTTCCCCTTGGTTTAGATACAAAACTTCAGAATACTTCTCTACCTTTTAGTGATTTTTCCTCATTTGAGACCATCGTCTTAGTGACGTCATCTAATTGTGTTACAGAAGACTAAGGAATCAGATGCCGTGTAAATTAGACTTGGACATTCCCATGTTTGGCTGTGTATCCATTATCATCAACGTTTAGGAGTTCTAGAAGAGTACTTGGTGGGACCATACAGCTAGGCTCCTGCTGCAGCGCATTTTCAGAAAGTGGTTCAAGACGAAGTAGTTTCCAAAGAATTCTGTCTTGGCTAAGCGTAAGGGCCTTAACTATATGATTTTACCATATAGTTTTACCCAGACATTGTTTCATACCATCCATTTAGGTACATAGATTCTCTAGGGCTTATTAGTCACATTCAAACACCATCCCCTCTGGTCCCCAAAGCCAGAAAAATTAAGCCTTTAATCTGTTTCTACCCTCCCTAACAAAGGCAGATGCTGATTATCTGCCTCAGGGAATCCTGTTCTTCTAATCATTCAGAATGCAACAGGCTTATTTGTTTGCTAACTTTTGTGTAGCCATGGTATTAGGTGATTTAGCTTAAGTCTGGTTGAAACAACCAACTTAAATGAATGCAACTTGTAGATAAAACCTCACTTTTTTGGGGAAGGATGCATCTCATGCTACTTCATATAATTCATTCATCTTTTTGTCTCAAAGTACAATTAGTGTAGCCAAGTGTGATATTTAGCTTTCTTGCCTAGAAGAATAGCTTTTCTGCATGGGTACATCCCTCATATATTGAAAGAATTCATGACCTCCAAGAAATATCACTTTAGTGATCGAGGAGGGATAGGAAGACTTCGGAATAACCAGCAAGGTTAGATTGGCCTGCGTAGGGGACTGCAAGAATGCTAAAAGAGATCTTATTTACCATATTCCCGTGTAAAGATGACACTTAACTGGAGCCATTTGGGAGCACTGACAGTGACTGCACATCATACTTAGATAAAACTTTATCCAAATGAGAATTTCCATGCACCTTTTATTTAGAGGCTGTCAGGGTCATCACCCAAAAAAGTGCTTTAAAAGGACAACTTTTAAACCTGCTCCTGTTCCCTTTTTGTGTCCGATTTTACGTATTTACAAACTTGTGGGGGATGGGGGAAGACAAATCCGTTACTCTGTGAAAGACTGGGCTAAAAAAAAAAATCAGAGGAAAAGAACAATGGATGATATTTACAGGATAAAAAGGTTATAGAAATTTCCTTTATATCATGGCCTTCAAGTTAAAGATCTGTAACAGGTTTGTAGAAACAATTGTGGTTGTCCTTGATCTTTAAAATATTCAAATATCAAAGCTGCAGGCAAAAGTGTTTCCTTCTACGCAAGTTCTGCTTAATCACTGATTACTGTAGTAATGCCATCGAGATTTGATTATCAAAAGAAAGTCATCTGTTCTCAAATTTGACAAAGTACTAATTTGGTTAAAGCAGGTTGTTTTTTCACAGTAAGTGAAACCAGAAAGCTTAGGTCATTTGTAGCTATTTGCTTTATACAATGCAGTGTTCAATCCATAAGTTCTTAGTATCTCTGACTTTTGCTCTTGTACACAGTATTAACTCCTTGGCCTCTGCTCCCTGTTTTGTTGTTGAGCTTTTGAGTTGGTGCTAACTTAGGCATCTTTTGAAAAATAGCATCAGGGCTTTTTTTGCAGTTATGTGCCAGTGTGAAGAAAATATATATTTTGGAGAAGACTTCCCCCCCCCCCAATCCTAGTACATCACCATTCGTAATTGAAAGTCTAATAAAGCTAATATTTTCTGAGGAAGATGCAGTCAAGGAGTAGTAATTATCATTAATAAATCAACTTCAAAGCTCTGCTACATTAGAAGGAAACTTTTTAGTTTGAATTAGTCTATTAAATGTTTCTTTACCTGATGGTTTTCTTCCAAAGGGATCACCCAGGACATCTACTCCATTTGGTACAGCGCATGGCAGAGAGAAAAGAGTGTCTAATGATGTGGAAAACTATTACAGACCTTCAATGCTTGAGGACCCATGGGCTGGCCTAGAGCCAGTTTCTGTTACAGACATAAACCAACAATACAGCAGTGAGCAAACAACATATACTGGTAAAAAAGGGAGGTATTTCAGTTAACACTTTTTAAGGCCAAATAACTCCATCTTGTCAGGAAAACTTTGGGACAAAACCTTTATACTTACACAAGATGAACAATATCAAGACCTTAGTTAATGCTTTTATTTGATCACATGTCCACCCTTTTATCCAACTTTTTTTTTTTTTTTTTTTTACTACATTGGATATTTTTATGTATGGGGAGGGAAAAGGAGTGGTAGGATACCTTACATTTCTGGCTACGTGGAAGTGCCTACCAGCTTTGAAGAACAAAGTGTTCTTTAATCACCAGCGACTGACTTGTGACTGTTAAAACAGGTTTTCATATACTTACCTCTTCCATGCCAGATTGTTAGCCTTTTATTGTTAACTCCTTTAGGAAATGGTATTTTTTTATGTTTCAACATTTTTAGAATGAAATAACTTGGAAATACAATAAAGTTTTGTAAATCCTTGTTTTGTAATGTATAAAGATTATTTTAGGACTTTTGTTAAGGTGTACTTATTAATAGAAATAGTACTAGTGAAATTAGGTGACTTCTGTAAATGTGTTTGTATGCTGTAGTTAACCTCTGATTTTTGTGTACGGTATTTTTTGTTAATTCTAGTGTAAAACAAGTGAAACATTACTTTTAGCCATCTCAGGAAACAAATGTATTGTCTTGGAAAGTTTAATTTGTTGAACCAGCTCTTGAATCGTAAACATAATTCTGTAATTATTGACTTTTGTATTTTAAAAAATTCATATTTGGAACAGAATTAGACATTGATCAGAGTAAACAAGTCTGTTTAGTGGCAATTTAAGTCTAATCAACACACAAAACATCAGATTTAAATAAATGCAAGTGTACTTTCTGGAACTAACTTTTAGAATAGCATAGAATGAATTGAACTTTGTTAAGCAGTTGATGTTGGTACATACATAGCATCTTATTTTTATTGATTTGTAACAAGAGTCTTCAATTTTGCATTTAATTTTTACCTATGACTGGCATCTTTGCCTAGAGGAGTCTTATTTTGTGTATGTTTGTGCGCGCACACACAAGCATGCTGGTTTTTCATACCGAAGAGGAAATTTTTTTTTTTTTTTAGGGCTTGTCTAAACATATAAGATTCATTCTTAAACCCACTAGTAGACACTTTAATCTAGAACAAATTAGAAATAGTTCCAACTGTAGACATGCTCTTAACATGCCCCATTAAGCCTGCAGCAGATACCTATTTTTTTCTGAAAGTACCAGTATTTGTTGATCTTAGCTTTTACACAGCAGGTGGAGGGTGAAAGCTTATTTAAAAACAAAAAAAAACCTAACAACATTAATTCGGTTTTCAAACATGATGTTTTGTCTTAAGCTTCTTTTATGCTTCATAGGAAAAAAAATATTTGTGTGGTCCTAAAGCATGGTTAGATTGAAAAGCAGAGGGAATCACATTTGACTTTTTTTTGTAACTTGTCTTTTGCCGAGATACAGTAGCACTGTACTTACTCCTAGTCCGTTTCAGCATAAATGTATTAGCTTAATACCACCTTCAGGAATAACTTTAGACTGAAAGGGAGAATAACTTGCTGAGGTTATCTTGTATTTTTATGACTTAATCTAAGGTGTGTCACTCGTGTCCTCCCTCAATTGACTGTTGTTTTAATATGACATCCAAGATACCTGCTCAGAGAAGTGAGACGTAACACCACCGTAAATGAATTAATAATTTCAAGATTTTTGGTATTAACTGCTTGATATTAAGAATGCTTAAATCTTCATCCCAGAATCAAAACAGGCTCTTACCTGGCAGCTATCAGTATTGGTATTTATCTGTAGCACATACCAGCAAAACTGGGATGAATTGACAACAAGCTGTAGATCACCTAGAACTGATAAAGCAATTACACGTCATCAAAAAAAGTCAAGTATAAAGTTTTCTCCTCCTGCCTCTTTTTTTTTTTTTTTTTTTTTAAAACTTGACAGGTGCTGTAAAGCTCACCAAAAGTTGCAGGGTACTTGACTGAGTTATCTTTTTGTTACCATTTCTTTTGTAATTTAATGCAGTTTACTTCTTGTGTTTGGTGATCTTGGGGAAACAGATCTGTTGGTATCTGCTGTTCTTTAAGAGACTAAAGCTATAACGTGTTCCCAGTTAGAAATGAGAAGAAACTGGGTTTGGAAAGGAGAAAGGAAAGGAAAAGAAAAGGATTCATGACAGAAGAGACTGTTAGAGGTGGGACTGCTTATGCAATAGCCAATATCAGCTGCCCGTGCTCAGTGCAAAGATGCATTTTTCCACTTTGGCTTTCCGGTTGACCCAGGGATCAAAGCCAACCGCCTCTGGTAATAACTGATAACTCCTGGAACTGGGTGTCAGACATCAACGAAGGTAAATGTTCCAGAAAGAATTGAGGAAATAATATTGAAGCACTGTTTAATCAATACAGGCCTTCCACAATGCCATCTGTTAAGTTGCTGCTCCTGTGCACTTCAGGATATGACCCAACACTTATAAGTGCATCATACTGCTAAAGACTCTAATAATTTGGTCAAGAATCAGCAAGAAATTAAAATATAGATGTAATAGGCTTACTAAACTCACCATACCGCACCAAAAACCTAAAAATAAATCATTTTTTTTACTCTACAATTGCAGTAAGCTCGTCAAAATTTCAAAATGTCATTGTTGAATAGCTGTAAAATGCATGAACACATGTTCATAACTATAAATATAATGTACTTAAAGCCAATTTAAGCTTTGCCTTTTTTGCTATAACATCCAGGAAGTTTAAGCACTTCCTCACTTTTTTTTTTTTGTTGGTCCTTTTTCCCCTATGGCAAACAGTCTTTTCCCACATGATTCTAATGGAGATAGGATATATCACTTCCTCATTTGTTTATGAAGCCTTTTCGTAAATCAGTATGGATCTGGGAATAGTATTTGATAGTATAAAGTACAGTACAAATGCATCCTTTCTTCATGAGCCTGTGAAACAAAATGTTGCCTGTCTTGTTAACAAGTGGATTCTTCTGTACTGAACACAGTAAGAGTATAGGCGTTGTTCTTTCTCAACAGACTTCTTAGATTTTAAGGTAAGTCAATTAACTCTGCTTTTTAGACGTTTGGATTGGTGTGCTTTTTGTCCATTCTGTTTTGTATGCATTCTGTCTTTGTTCATCAAGACTTACTTCTCCTTCACTTGTTGTAAAGGATTTGCATAACTCATGACTAACTCTTTTCTAGCAAAAACAATTAATTTAACTTCTTGATGTTTACTACTGTAATGATTAACTGTGAACTGCACTGTTACTACATTGTGTTAATGTCACAGTAAGATAACTTGTGTCAGCTGCGTGCAATTCTGTGTAACATGGGAACACTCCAGGTGGGGAGCTATCCCAAGTTGTGTGCTATAATATTTCAAAGGCAGTTCAGGTTTGGGTTTTCACTGTTACTTTATAACATGAAATACTCATTCCTTAGCCTTTTAACTTTGGACACGTTATTTCATGTTGAAATTGTAAAATGAAGAATTTAGAACATTAGAACATCAATTAACAGGATTTGGTTTTTTTTAATAAGCAGTAAGACATAGAGCTTTAGCATTTTTCTTATGTCAAAACTGGGAACACTTTGCAGAGGAAATGCTCCTGGGAAACAAAAAGGATAACTGCTTTTGTGGTGAGGTTGTTTTTCTTTTCATGCAAGGTAACTTTATGTACTTTTCATTCTGTTGACATAAATGCATTGATTAGACATCTAAGGAGAGCATGTGAAACATGCATGATATGGATAGTGTACAAGTATCTGTTCTTTAGGAGCTCCCCTCTAAAGAAAAGTTTTTAGTCATTTCTAAAAAAAAATAAGTTCTGTTTGGGTTTCACTGAGTTATACCTGTGAGTAATCTTACTGATACCAGAGGCTATATACTCATGCAGTCAAGATACTTAAGTATCCAGGATTTAAGTTTGAACATTGTATCATCCACTTGTCTTTCAGCGTTCTTCACTAACTCTGCAATAAATTACTATTTACCAATTTTTCTGAATTCAAATTTGTACACTTGGTTTTATGCATAAGGCAAGACTGTGTTGAACTGAATTAAACTTAAAAAAAAAAAAAAAACTTTTCCCTAAACTCTCAAGAGTAGGGTTTGTTTTCCTTTCCCTAACTGTTGGCACTTACCTTCTTGCTAACTTCCTTATATCAGGGGAGTAAAGAGAAGGTTGGATCCACTGCTTCCTGAAGAACTTTGTAATGATTTTGATATCTTTAGCCTTTAACAAACTTGGGTACAAATTCTCATAGGTTAACTTTTATATTATTTGACAAGGCTCAGGCAGGTACTTCTCACACTACAGGTTTAGAGTTTAAGAACACTTTCTCAGCCTGGACTTCTGCTATTACCTACACCTTAACTCTAGGCCTTCTCCTTAAAGCATTTTAGAGTTGGTTAGAAGAGCTTTATCTCATCCTCATTACTTCTTACATGGCACTAGGAAACCTTGGAGCACTAGGCTACAAACAGTTGGGCAGATGCTCAATGCCAGAACACAGTCAGCAAAATACCATTCTTCTCCAAGAGATTACAATAGATTTCTTGCCACTTAGGTACGTTCAGGTCCAGAGAGTATTTTAACCCAAATAATAATCATCCATTCTGTTCCATCAACTCTACTGGATTATAAATTTTACCAGCTAATTAACCACCTCATATGCTAATTTTTAGATAAGTTTACCATGTAATTTGTAGTTTAACCCCTAAACTGCAGGCACATTTTATTCATCTGCAGTAAAATCACAGGTGAATTCTAATGCCTTTCATTCACTGATCATCATTATTCATTCCTTTCTGAACTATAAATGCTTGCATTAGTATACAAGAAAGTTAACTTGTGCAGCTAATGTTTAAAAAAAAGGGGGGGAGGATGCACCAGTACAGTCTCAGAGTGGAACTTTTAATAATGTTAATGCTACTGCTATTAAATGGGAGCTTCTCCATCCCCCCCCATAACAGGAAAAGAATTAAACCAATGCTGATTGTTTTGGAAAAACACCATCCCGCTCCCCAACAAAAGAGGAAAAGATATTTCTCAACAATAACTTCACAACCAAAAGAAGAATTCATATGCAGCTTCAAAACTAAGAGAACTGGTTCGTTCTTATTTTTATTCTGGAAAAGCACTATCTTGTTTCTAATAACTTTGGGGCTGCCTAGGCTGTATCCTTCTGTTAAAGCCATCAAATCACTATTTCACCTGTTTTCTGACATATGCAAGTCTGTTTTTTGTAGAATATTGTATCATACTTAGTCTCACAAAACTGTAGGCTGTACACCTGCTGGGTGTGGAAAGCTCTTATGTATTTCTAAACATGTTTATAGCATTCCT